AGACTCTTGATGTGTGTTGGCGGTCAGGTTCGCTCTATGTGCTCCCCTCTGTGCTGTCGCATTTCAGGCTCGGGGACAGCAGACTAATGGCGCGTACTTGTGGCGTGTCATGTTCGCCCGATGGTCCTTGATGCAGCTCCGCTGGAGCCGCAAACTGGCTCTAGTTTCAGAGCTGTGGAGGACTGGGACTTTCTTCGGGCCTGAACCTAGCATAGAAAATTGGGAGAGCTGTCGGAAAAAATGCAACTGGGTAAACTTGAAGAGTATCACCTCGAGCTTAAACTATCATGTTCCGTGCCACTCATCTTCGAGCCCCGGGTACCCGAAGACTCGCATCAACAATGCGGCAGGTCAACCACAAGGTTTCAGAAAAGTGTCGGCCTTAATTGTCCGGCAGCCCTTTCGACGCCCACACATGTTTTCAAGTTTCGAGGTGGCTTCAGGCTCACCAGGTGCACGAAGTGTTGTCCATGTCTGCTCTTGCGGAAGTCGGTGGATTGGAGAACCAAAACAGCAACGGACTTTCCAGGCTGGAGCCCCTGGATACCTTCCCAGAACGGCGCTCGGTGATCTGTTTGGTTGCGCTGGGGCTTTCTGGGTGAGGCTGGAGTGGCCAAGGGCTGAGGCTTCGGGAAGAGTTTGGCGACCGACAGTGAGCAATTTCAAGACTTTCGTACTAAACGGCAAGTCCCAACAGAACCGCCTTTAGCCCCAAATCCCCAGCAGCTGAAGTCCGCATCTTGAAGCTAGGCCCCACGAATGTAAGAAATGTCCAAGACAAAGATGGAAATCAGCAGAGGTAAACAGCAGCCAGCTGCTGGACCCTGCGCTCCAAGGCGCTGGCTTTGGGTTTCACGTCAAATCTGCTGGGTGTTCACCGTGAACTATTAAGAGATTCTGTGGGAAGGAGCAGACAAGGGATCTGAAAATAGTTTGTGCGAGCCCGCGGGCATCTAAGTCGCGGCTGAGCCCTCAACTTCCTGAAACTTTGTGTGCCCCGGCCAGGTTCCATAGCAGCAGCGCTGGAGACCATAGCAGAGGACCGGGAAGATGCTACCAGCTTTCGGCACTCTGAGCAACGAAGCTGATTTGTGCGCACCCAAGGGTAAAAAATAGTTTCAGATTTGAGCCGAGTGCAAACTTGACTTGCGGCCGCCCGCAGTTGGTTCCCGGGCCCAGGGATAATGCGCACTCGGCTTGCAGAACAAAACGCAGGCAGAACGGTTCGTGCAAGAGAACCTGCCTATACATCACTCAACCATATACAAGATGCATACATACATACACACGCATGCATACATACATACATACATACATACATACATACATACATACACACACTTGCGAATCTGTTCAACTGCCAGTGGCTTAATTATGTGTCTTGGGTATTTTTCGGTGGTGCCTTTGCTCACTTGTGAAATCTTGATGGCCGACAGTTTCGCTTGTTGAGAGCACCCGCAAGACCTGAGAAGAGACAAACGACACAGTACTCACCTCATAGTCTGTGGACAACTGAAGCCTACAGTCCTTCTTCGCAACTGTGTGCAGGCAAGCAGGTAGGGCGTAGGTTTGAGCACAGGATAGATGCTTGGCTCGGTTGGGCGAGCATGTGCCATGAGCTTTCGGCGCTGCTTGAACCTTGACCTCGCGACCTGTACATGTGGCGGCTTCGCAGGACGAGTGGATTTTGGATAGTGAAAGAACGGCAGGACACCCAGGGCATGGGCGAAGTTGTTCCCCCACTTGTGATGCCGCGTATCATTAGTCGTAGCCCCATGGTGATGATTGCGTGCGCGACCTGGCTACAGGGTTCTGATGGGTGAGAACACAGTGAGAACCGATTTGCTTGCCACCAGACCGAGCGCCGTCAATGCTCAACATATCGGACGGGGCAGAATTGTCGAGCAAGAGTGACTAATTTTAGGGTCTGTGTATGTCTGCAGAAATTACCACAGTTACGACAACAGCCGTTCTAGCAATAGTCTTGAAGGCAGCATCTGCGTGTTTAAGTTTAGAACTGGATACGCCTGGAAGTTTGCCCGAGGTTTTCATGCAGGACGGCCTGGTGCTGTCCAAGGAGAAGGTGATGACTGGCAAGGTTTCTTGGGCACATTTGGGCATGCTTAGGGTCAAAGCAGGAATCGTGAAACTTGCATCTCTGTGACATACTGTGACATGACCTGTGTGAAAGGCACCTCTGGATCAGCAGAGTTCAAAAAATTCAAAACGTTTGCGATTTTTGCTGGTGCGCTGGGGTACGAAGTGGATGTTGCGGGCTTGTCAAGAAGGGCTACTCGGCTTTGCCTCGAGATAATGCAATCAAAGCTCGAGGCTGCTGAGCGTTTGCCTGCGCTCCACTCGCCCTGGGAGCTGGTCACGGAGGTGCGAGCTAGGGATGTTCCCTCGCTAACTCCCCAACAGTGTCCATCGACGGTCGAGCTCGTCACATTTTTGTCTTTGGCGACATAGCAGCAGCGGCCTGGCTGCTCAGCTTCCGTTTTTGTCTTTCGGTGCTTGGCTACTTCGTGGAGGCATGGCAGGAATTGGTAGCCTTGATTCGTGCATTTTGCATGTGGTCGCTCAGATGTGTGGCCTCCTCGCACTTGCGACCCTCGCTTGTCCGGATATAGATTGTCGGCAATCCAACGTAGCTTGCAGTTTGCAGCAAGACAGGAGCTTGTCACACGGCGGTTTGGTGTCAATTCCTCCTCAGCACGTGGCCTCAGGCGGCTGCGCTGTGTTGACTGTGTTTGCGACATTTTCGATGTAATCACTCACACCAGATCATGGGCGTGGCATTTGCAGGTTTCAGGCGTGGTGCTACCAGTTCTTCATGGTGGTAGGTTTTCCGTGGCATTGGCCGCGCATGTGGGGCTCAGTACTGCTAGTTTAGAGTGGCTTTGCAGTAGTTTGTTGTTAATCTACTCCTGGTTCCTGCTCACTCGGCAGTGCATTTTTCTGGCAAGACCGCAGATGCTTACAAATCTATACCGTCAAAACCTTGTTTCGGCTTTCCTGCTCGCCTTCTATGTTCGTTGCGTTTACTATTGTGCAGCTATGCTTGCGGTGCTGCTTCTGTTGTACGGCGTTCCATGCGCAGCAACTCTCTTGCTGTTCACATTCGAATTGCTCCTGCGATTATGTTTGTTCTACTCTTCGGGGCGAATCTGAGTTTGTTGATTTGTTGGTTGATGGATCGGCTGTTTGTTGCGTGCCTATCAGGCTAGCTCATAATTGCATGTGCAAGACTGACGGGGAAGGGCCGGTAAAGCCGCACCCAGTTTTGGCCTCAAGCCGCCTTGCACCAGGGCCCTTCTTGGTGAGGCGGTGGCTGCAGAGGCACACGTGAGACAGCCTCTTCCTGACCCTCCCAGCCTCGCATTGCGTCGATAAGAGCCTGAAGCCATGAGGAACCGTTCGCGGTTGTAATGGCATAATGACGTGCACTGTTCCCTTTGTGCTGTACTTTTGAAAGGTCCACGTCAAGCTACGGCTTTCATTAGCCGATTAGCCGTAATTTCCTCCAAGCACCGCTCTACGACTTCTTTTCTACTTGTCGGAAAAAGGAATGAGAGTGATTTCGGTGTGGAGGCGTTCCAACCGCACTGATCCCCGGGCACGTTGTTTGCTAATAAGTGTATCAGAGACGGCTTCTGTGAGGACCAGCGCATTCTGTCTTTCTAGCCATGTCGACTCGAGCTTGACCGCATCATGTTCCAACGCGCAGGCGACCATGTCAGATTGGCAGCATCTTGGTGCTTTAGGATCTTCGGAGACCAATAGTTGGGGCTGTGGATGTTGATACCTAAAACCATTCAGACAAGTTTGGGCAGAGGTGTTCGTAGCTGCGGTGGCCTAGGTGTTCGCAACCCACCGTTCAGATTCAAAATCGTGAATACGTAAGCATCGAGTTGTGAGAATGCAGCTTGGCCCCCTCTGAGCAGCACGTTGTTATACCTTCATTTGTAAGTACAGCTTGTGCACTGCGGATGCAAACAGAGGCCCCTGTGCCAAACAACATAGCATTACACCTCGTCGGATAGCAAGATATCGATCTCCAAAGCCTGGAGCATCTGTAGCCGAAGTCATCACATGCAGATCCTGCACTACTTCCGGCCTCTGGCAACTTGATTCTTGGTACAGTCGGTCCATCTTGCGAAGCCCGTCACAGAGTCCCTGCACATGTGGGCAGAACCGGTGAAGGTCCAGTACGCACAATCTGCAAGTTCAGATGCAGCCCACAGCCCAAAGCTCGTAGTTACACGGCGTCCAACTGCCGCGATTCAAGGCACCTTGCGTTTGCCATCGCAGCCCTTGCGCATGGCACTCAAGGTTGTCAACTCCTCCGGCAGATCTGCTTTGCTTTAGGAGTTTCTGGAGAGTTGGAGCAGACTGTCCGGTTTGTGGTCGCTAGGCCGCTTGGCCTTCTTTTATTTGTTAGGTTCAGTAACGTTCAGTAGGCGCCATACTTGAAGGGTTTGTGATTTGTTCTTTCGTTATTCAAGGGCTTGAGTATTCATGGCTTGACCACGAGGATTTGCGATGAACGCAGGCTGAGGAGTTCAGGAGGAGTTGCGTGATCCCTCCAAGTGTAGCTGTAGCCCTGCTCAAAATTCTCCTGCTTGCCAGTGCAGCAGTGAAGATAGTTTTATGCTACGCTGGCTAGGAGATACTGGTGTATGCAGGAACAAGTTGGGATTCGGGGCCCCTGGTGCGGATCAACACTGCTGCCGGGCTCCAGCTTCGGAGTGCCAGGATGGAAATGGCTTCCTTGCACCGTCACCCTGGATTCCTGGATCCAGACGAGGGTCATGTCAATGTGCCCCTGGACGACTTCATCCTGCTCAACTTCTCAAAGTCTGCGGAATCCCAACACATATCAGTGAAGTTGTTTCATGAAAGTGCAGCTTTCGAAGGCAAACATCTCAGCGTGCCAAGGCACCCTCAAAGCGCACAAGGAACGCTTTCTGAGCCCCGGAGAGCGCCAGCGTTCGAGCGCCATGGCGCGCACGGCTCCCGCTCTCACGGCCCTGCAGCGCCGGGCTGCAGAGCGCAGCTACCCGCATCTCGGCGGAGCTCTGCTCCGTTCGGCGCGAGTGGTGCCATTTCGGGTGGGCAGTGCATCAGGGCTGGGTCTTGCCTGGCAGCAGAGATTTCTTTGCTTCGTTCCGACCTTTCGACAGAGTTGGGCAGGCTTTGTGCTGTCGGCACAATGTAACATCGCCGCTAACAACACCACCACCAGCAGCAGCAGCAGCAACAACAACAACAACCACCCACAACCCACAACCACAAACCACAAACCACAACCAAACCACAACCCACAAACCACAAAACACAACCCACAAACCACAAATTAGAAGCCACAAACCACAAACCGCAAACCACAAACCGCAAACCACAACCCACAAACCACAAACCACAACTCGCAAACCACAAATTAGAAACCACAAACCACACACAACACATCGCAAACCGCAAACCACAACCAACAAACCGCAAACCACAACCCACAAACCACAAATTAGAAACACAAACCACAAACCGCAAACCACACGCCACAAACCGCAAACCACAACCCACAAACGACAACCCAAACACCACAAATTAGAAACCACAAACCACAAACCATAAACCACACACCATAAACCGCAAGCCACAACCCACAAACCACAAATTAGAAGCCACAAACCGCAAACCACACACAACAAACCGCAAACCGCAAACCACAAACCACAAACCACAACCCGCAAACCACAACCCACAAACCACAAATTAGAAACCACAAACCACAAACCACACACCACAAACCGCAAACCACAACCCACAAACCACAAACCACAAACCACAACCCACAAACCACAAACCGCAAACCACAACCCACAAACCACAAACCACAAACCACAAATTAGAATCCACAAACCACAAATCGCAAACCAGACGCCACAGACCGCAAACCACAGCCCACAAACCACAACCCACAAACCACAAATTACAAACCACAAACTACAAACCATCAACCACACACCATAAACCGCAAACCACAACCCACAAACCACAACGCCCCAGGGACCTTTGCACGCGTGCGCAAATGTGCGCGCGCGCAGGATCTACTGGCTCTGCCAGTGATTTCCAGCTTCGGGAGGTGAGGAAAGCAGTGCAAAAACTGCCATATTTTTTGTCTCAAGCAACAAGCCAGAGGCTGTCCTTGAGCATACTCTGGCAATCGTATGCTCTCGAAACACGAACGTTATTGTGGTTTGGGCATGGATGCTCTGGTAATCGTATGCTCTCGAAACACGAACGGTATTATGGTTTGGGCATGGATGCTCTGGTAATCGTATGCTCTCGAAGCACAAACGTTATTATGGTTTGGGCATGGATGCTCTGGTAAGCTCCATGGCAAGACAAGCTGCATTGAGGCCGAAAGGTCTGCGGCCATAAACCCCTGAAACTGCCACATGCGCGAAAGACTGCGTACACCAGTACTTTTGCACCCTTTTCGGTGAAAAATGCCTGAAAGTCCTGCGCCTGCCAGCAAAATTGCAAGCTTGAAACCGCTTCAAGTGCGCGTTTACAGGTCTCCGGAGGGAACCACAAACCACAACCCACAAACCACAAATTAGAAACCACAAACCGCAAACCGCAAACCACAAACCGCAAACCACAACCCACAAACCACAAACCACAACTCACAAACCACAAATTAGAAACCACAAACCACAGACCACACCACAAACCGCAAACCACAACCCACAAACCACAAACCACAACCCACAAACCACAAATTAGAAACTACAAACCACAAACCATCAACCACAACAACAACAAGAAGCCTTGAGCAGCAGAGTTCTTTCGGGCGGGTAAGTACGACCCCGAATCGCTTTTGGTTGAGGCCGGTCCCAGCCCATTGTGTTGTGACCGGTGGCAGCGGTTTCGTCGGGCAGCGCTTAGCACCCGATCTGCGATTTTCGGTTTCATGCTCTGCACCTTTCAATTTACGGATTGGGAAGTAGGGCGCTGATTTCTGGCACTCATGCATAGGATGGACTTCGGTGCTCGTGGATTCTCGGTTTCGTGGCTGATGGTGATGGCATGGTAATTTCTCGGGTTTAATCGTTGACAATCTGCATGTTCAGCTGGAACATGTGTTTCTGCTTGCTTTGCTTTCTTTGTTTATGAAGCTAGTTCAATGTCGTGGCTTGTAGTGCAGAGTTTCAGATCAAAAATACTGTCGGGTTCATGATTCATACACTCGCAAAGCCTATCAGTCTGGTAGCGGACCTAAACGCACATAATTTTCTTTATGGTAAAGTGTACTTCATATACAACAAGTGGCAATTGGCGATGCTCTACCGGCAAGGACCTTGAGCACAACGTATGAAGTCAAGCAGCATAAACAGAAAGTTCCCAGCATGTGATTGAGGTAGAGATGTTGGTGGAGCGAGGGGCGCAGCGAGTCGTGTCTTTCGACATTCTTCCCCAGCCGCCCAGTGCCTGGCAGGACTTTCGGACTCGAAATTCACGTTTCCTAAACCTTTCAAGACCAAGCTGCCGCTGCTTCCCGAATGGAATAGACATGTTCTTTGCCGGCAGGACTCGCGCATTGCTGTAGCCCCAGGACGAGACAGCGCTGAGGGGACCGTCCTGTTTTGAGTCCTGAACTTGTGGCTGTTTTCAATTAAAAGCAGGCCCTGGTCTACGCCGATCATGTAGTGCCTCCGTGCGTGTTTCTTGGTGTGTCTTCGGTTTTACGGGGTCCCCGCTATAGCCGTGGAGATCCCGGTTCGGCCTGCAGCCCCTCCGCAATCCGGCAAGGATCAACCAACCCCATAGCACAAATGTTTTTGTTGTGGCGGGGTGCACCTTCTTCACATCTGTGTTGTGTTCCATCCCGGATGAGTTATGGCTTGTGCTGCCCAGTGCCGAGAGCAATATCGCACTTCCCAAGAAGTCAGCGCCCGATGTCCGGACCCTGCTATAATAATCAGTCTGGACAGGCAGCTCCTGACCAGCAGATCTGGATAATCTACATAGATGTACTTCTTTCTACAATTGCATGATCACAGAAGCCATGCTCAGTGCGAGCAACATCTTCAGATTGATTTCGACATCATGTCTTTACGAGACCACTTGCAGAGGTCTACATGCAGGGTGACCTTCGCCGCCGCGTAGATGTGGACTGCACGTTAACCGGGGAAGTGAGCAGAAGTGGATGTGCAGCTGGGAATTGCAGAGCTTCCTGCTTGTCTGAGCGGTCTGCTCCCACTGCTAACCCGACGCCGAGTTCTGCTTTGCAGGACCGTGCCGTGGCCGGAGCTGACTGTGTCTGGCATGCCGTGCGTCTCAGAACAGCTTGCTCAACAAGACAAGGGGTTGGGCACGATAAGCTTCCAGGACTCAAGCTTCATCTGTTGCGAGGTTTTGTCTATGAACATCGGACCAACTGCTGTCCACCACAGACGTCCAGAACCCACAGCGCTGTATTCCCAAAAGCGATTGCAAATCCGAGGCCAGGTACGTCAGGAAGTTCAGCTAAGTCACACTCGGGCGTCTGGTTACGACTGGGTTTGGACTCAGCGGGATGGCTCCGAATCTGATGCGACCAGTGAAGAACCATGCGGGTTCGAATCAGGGAGTCGTGGTGCCTGGGATTCTTCAAGGTCGGTGCGGCTGTCGGACCCTTTCACCCAAGCGAGCTCTACGAGGACTTCTTCCGAACGGCAACCCAGGCGCTAGGCTCCCCCTTTCGGTGATGGCAGATTGCCAGGTACTTATTTGTTCATTTTGGGCTGGAGCAGGGATCATGGATTTCTGCTGAGGTTCGCACGGATATCCCGGATAAGCCGTTTCTGAGTCCAACTCGGGGGGTGGACTATGGTGGACTTCTATAATTGCCAGATAGGTGGACGCAAGGCCATTTGAATCCAAGCCCTCCGAGCACAGCTGATACGACCGGTTCCCGTCATGCCACTCGACCAAAGTAACGTTTTTGTATTGAAGTTGAGCACTCAGATTTTGGATCTGCAAGTATTGGTCCAGGTTCAGCCCCGTCTGCCCCAGCCATTCAAACGAATAAGCGACTAGACTTGCAGCTTGTGGTGGAATGAGGAGGTCAACGTCGGCGGCTGTCGCCATGTGGTTGAGGCCGACTGTGTCTTGCATTTGATCAAGGCTGATGGAGACACTGCAACATGGGTTTGTCGGAAAGATTTTCTCCAGTTCATACATCTGACCAGGATCTATGTTTGTTTGCGGCCGAACACTGGTCGCCGTCTGTTCCTGACCCCTTCCGGCTTGGCATGTTGTTGCACAGTGGCGTTTAGGTGAGCCTTCTGTGCATTGAGTTTTCGGCAGGCGTGTCTTGCTGCCGGAGTCGGCAAACTCGTCATGTGCCTTGACAGGAATTATAGCTTATGGTATGTAGCTCATGGCTGCGCTGAGGCCAACTCGGAAGGAAGTGGAGGAATATGTGTCTGTATATATATATATATCTATATGTGTGGATGGGTGGGGGTTCGTCTCCGTGAAGCAAGACAGTTCCATAGCTCCTGCAAGTCCTGCTGTCGTCGGACAATGCTACAACTTGGTCGTCTTGGGTACCGGAGCTCTTTGACGGTTCCTTGGGCAGTGTTGTTGGTGGTCGTAGATGCCTAAACTTATGTCGATCTCTGGTGCTAACTCTAATCAGATTGCAAGTGGCTCAAAATAGGATAAAAATAGGAAGAAAATGGGAATCCTGGTTTATTCGGAAATACAAATTAAATCGGAAAAAAATAGGACCTGCCCGCACTCCCCGCACCACTTTCCACCCTACGGCCCTGTGTTATTTTCCTATTTTTCTTAGGTTTTTCCTATATTTCCTATTTTTCTCCTATGTTATTCCTATTTTTCCCTATTTTTCTCCTATTTATTCCTATTTTTCTCGTATTTTTCTCCTATTTCTCTCCTATTTAAAAGTAGAAGAAAAATAGGAAAAAATCAGAGAAAAATAGGAATAAAATAGGAGAAAAATAGGAGAGAAATAGGAAAATATAGGAAAAACCTAGGAAAAATAGGAAAATAACAGGGCCGCAGGGTGGAAAGTGGGGCGGGGAGTGCGGGCAGGTCCTATTTTTTGCCTATTTTTTTCCTATTTCCTAAACACGCTTAAGTCCTATTTATTTCCTTTTTTACTCCTATTTCTAGAAATCATGGTTTTTCTAGACTCAGCACTCCTGAGATTGACATAAGCCTAAACGAACTGAGAATGTATCCCTGGCCAGGTCTTCCTCGCCGTCAACCCGCTTCGATGGCTCAGACATTGATGGGCCACCTGGTCTTGAGATTGGAATCAACAGGGCTTACACGGCTCGGTGTCGTGTGGGGGACTTCACAAACCCTTGCGGAGCAAAGGTGAGCATTGACAGTCCTTGTCACTACAGTTGATCGCATGTATGACGACACAGCCAGAGCATCACTGGGCCGACGTGTGTACATAAGGGCAGCACACAGTGCCGCGCATTTGCATTAAACTGCCTTGCTGTCATGCTGTACCCATACATGGGGCATAGACTCAAATCCTCGCGCAACGACTCCTCTGGCAGAGCCATGATTGAAGCCCGAGATCACGAGTCGCTAAGCATTCTGCACCCAAGGCTCACGGAACTGGAGCTGCCAAAGTTGCCCCAGATGCCCAGCTGCACCTAGCCTATTGCCGCGCACATGCTCAAAGTCATGGACAGAGTCGGAGAGCAGGTACTGGCACGAGGCTGTGCAGCTGCAGACCCACAAACACATCAAGCACGGTTGGTCTCATGTTGTCTATTAGCTTCGGAGTTAACAGCAATTTGTCGATGGTCCTGCATGGCGTACAAAGCCTGGCACTGAGTTGGGAAGGTCACTCGTGTACATTCGCCTGCAAAGTCTTTGAGCTCCTAGCCGATCGCTCGCAAAAATGAAACTGGGTCTGGATCGAAGTTACATGGGGCCGACTGAAAAATGTCACTGAGGAAGTCGTACTTACAGGAGTATGCAGAGACCAAAGCCAAAGGCACGTTGTGGCGTGCATGTAGCAGTTTTGCAGCTCCATATGAAGCCATTCGTTAAGTTGCATGCAGTCTTGCTGCGGCTTTACATTCTGATGAAGTTAGTCGTCAGTATTGCCCCGGCTGCACAAGGCTGTGTTGGCACACAGATGGTATTGATAGACGGGGATCATCTCTCCGATTTCGATCTAGAATCTGGTATTCAGAACGGCTGTGCTGAGAGATGAAATCCCGAATCCAGTTAGTTGCCAAACTGCAGAACCATCCCCCAGATTCCGCACCTAGCAACGACCAGAGACGGAAAGATTTTCGGAAGGAGTTGCCCAAGAGCTACTGGGGCTCGCTCAAGTTTTGGCCGATTCCGTTTACCCAAGGTGTTGCAGACAAAACTTGTAGCGATGCCATTGCTGCACCTTTTTCCGCACTTTCGCAGGGGAGCTGGTGATTACCCAGGCCTGCTGCGAGTTCCTTGGCTTGCACGAGGCTACCCTTAACTTGAAGACCTCCCAGGTCATCGAGGTTAAGCAGCTCGCAATGTTCTTGATAGAATTGGTTCAGACCCGCCCCACACTCGACAACTTCAGACTTGAATCCGTCCAAGGGCTGGGAAACCATGAGACTGTCTTACTACGGGTAGCATTTTGACCAGCGCAACTTCCTTCGTTCCGGCATGCACAGCGCCATGCCCAAAGACAGGAAGCTGCTGACGGTGGCCATCGCACCCCATCAGGCAGCGCAGTGCTGGGAACGCGTTTGCTTTTTCTTTCTGTGGTGATTTCTGGGACCTGAGAGCATCAATCTGCAGAAAGCCCGAACCACCATCGAGCCTAGGAGTGCCCGCAAGCCCGATCATCGAGTTGACTCTTTGAGCCAGCATCCCGAGACCCATCGATGCCCTCTTGAGGCCCCAAGTCTTCGATTTTCGCATTTTCAATAGGGCGTATAGTCTATACGGTATAGAACCCAAATCCCAACTATGCCTGAACTGCACTTTGATATCTCATAGTTTCTCGAAGGTCTACGGGCCGCGTGATACGCTCTGGACGCCCAACATCATGGAGACAGCTGCGACAGGCATCGTGAAGCCGGGGGAGGTTGCACGACAGAGCACATTCTAACCGGAGAGATCTTGATTGTCAGGGTTTCAAGAATAGGTTAGACAAAGCTTCGATTCCATGTGATACTGAGTAAGGTAGCGTGTCGTAAGCTTGCGAAAAGCCTTGCGCATGTAGCTGTCTCTAACAAGTCCAAGTCCGAAGGCAAGCTCCGCGTGTTTGGCAACGGCTGCACGGTTGCACATTAATTGCCGAACATGGCCACAGGAGTGCATGGCGAGAGGTGGAAGAGGCAGTAATGTTCAGAAGAGTAGGAAGCCAAGCTTGAAAGATTCGAAATCCAATTACACATGCAGCAGCGTAACCCCGGCAATGGTCATCCTCGAGGTCCTGAGTCACGTATCCTGCAGGAGCATAGTTGCGGGCTCCCCTCCTGCTCCCCTTGTGGCCTTGGTTTCGCTTTTGCAGCAGCGTTTTGATGAGCACGTGTGCTGAGACGCCGAGACTGGGTAAGGTGATGTAAGGTGTTCAAATCTCAAGAATCTCAAGCTCGTGGATTGCCTTTTAAACCAGTAGCCTCGAACCAGCTGCTGCCTCTGCAGCTCCAGAACCAGGCAGGAACCGGGCCTGCTTTACTTACGTGGACAACTACTGCCACGGGTTAATCTTGGGGGAGCGCGCCCTCAAGGAGGCACCGGCGGGTCTCATACCTGGCAAATCCCCATCCCACAAGGCGTGTTCCTAGTCATACGGCCTCCCACCTCCCAAGATAGTGTGCAGTCCCCGGTCTTGATGTGTTATGTTTGGGTTTCGCACTCCTCATGTCATGCTGCGGTTTACTTCGCACGGTGCGTAAGCTCCAATCTGCAAAGACTTGGAATGCTGGACGATCCTTTGCTTTTCCGGATGCCCCTGTCAGGGTTCTTCTGCAGGTTGTCACGGGACTTGTGAGCAGCTGTCAGAGATGTCAATGCCTTTCCGTTTTTTGTGGGTAGCAATTTCGGCGGCTGGGCAGGCGCCGGGGCATCTAAGGGCCTAGGTCCTTCAATCGGCGACCAAAATCACGTTGAGATGTGCGCGTCCTCCACGTCTACTGTTGCATCAGCTAAGACTCCAGTGTCCGGCCGTGAAGCCCTGCATTGTGCAGACCAAAGTTGGGTGGGGGTGGGGTCTATTCCTTGAAGGGCAGCAGAACTCAGGCCAGACTCAGAGCTTCTGATGTTATAAGTAGCGCCATCTCAGCATGGGATGATGCCTCACTTCCAGGGCAGCCCGGCCTTGGGCGGCTTCTACATCTGCACAGATGCAGCCGCGCGGAATGATGTCCTGTGTGTGGGTGAGGTGTAGCTTCTTGTGGGGGCTCCAGATTGCCCGTGAAACAAAGGTATGTCCGGGGTACGGGTACAGGTTGACAGTGTCACGAAACAGTTGTTACAGCGACAGACAGGTTATGCGTTGAAATGGCAGGCAATAGAAGGTCCAGATATCACTGCTGGTCCGGTGAGCAGCGCTCTCAAACAGAATATTTCGCTGAACCGTGATAGTCTGCGAACCCTTGGCCCAAAGCCCCCCTGCTTTCACATCTTACCCGAACGGCTTGTTCTGTATTGAGTCCTGACAGTCCTTTCGGTGCATCGATGGTCAGAACCCCAGACACTGGAATCTCGAGCCACGAGACCCTTTCCGGGCACCGAGTCGGAATATGACCACATGCACCGCTCTAAGGACACCCATCCTCACAGTGAGGGCTATGCCTACCTTTGGGAGGAGGTGGATCGCTTCTCGGCTTCTCCCAGATTGTTTTTCTTGGCATCCCGTTTTCCTGGCAAACGCGATTCTGGGGAGTCTCGGTTGGCCAACCCCAGACCACTCTAGGCCGTAGACGGGAATTCCGCTCGCTGGAAACTTGGAAGCTTCCGAAGAGTCAAAGTCGGTCGCAGCACCGTCGTGACTTCTCAGGCTTTGCCGTGGGTCTGGGCCTGCCATCCGTGCTGGAGTGCTTGGGCCGCAAGATGTCTGGCAAATCTAATGAGCATGGGAACCCACAAGCGCGAGTCCCTGTTTTTCTGCAAGTCTCGCATCCCGTGCCTCTGCAAGCTCCCTGGATGGCCACAGCACGGGTCCGGAATTTTCTGGTTCCAGGAAGCAAGGCAAGGCAGGCAGGCTGCGGGCTTAAAGTCTTGGAGGACTGGTAGTCTGCGCACTTCGAGAAGCTAAGCCCAAAGCCAAAGTTTTTGCTAGTAAGCCTCGAATCGGCCTTAGTAACCTAGTAGGGCACTGCATCCATGAAAGCTCTGAACACGCAATCGATCCAACAAGGAAGTTTCACCTGCCTCAGGCCGTTGCGGGCTGCATGCTTGTGTTTTCGTTCCAGGATGTTGCCGACTGTTGTCTCGGAAGCCTTTGACACAATATAGGCTGAAATGAAGTGCTGCATGGATGGGCAGAGTGCAGTGCATGAGCCCTATGTGACGACAGCGCGTTGGACATGTTAAACTCTAGTCCTGTTCGCACTGTCCTGCAGCGGAGTTGCGCCTCAGCATCTGACGCTGTTCAGTTCCTGATGTATTTCTTGGCCTACATCTGCAACGTGGTTGGCTTCTGCCTCGGCCGAAAGCTGTGCCTTGCCATACTAAGAAATTTCGTTGATTCGTACCAGAATCGGGAAGATGCATAGAGCAAGAGGGAGGAAGGCGTTCTTGCCTCTTGTGGTACAGGTGGGGTAGCATGATTTTGAGAGCAGTGTGCGCTGCTTGTAGCTTGTGGCTAGATGCCCGAGTATGCTATCTCGGGAGGGCTGTGGCTATGGTGCACTTGTAGCAGTGCCGGCTAGAGGAGAGGACGGGTGAATCCATTCAACACCAATTTGGCCATTGCAGTTCACGGTGGTATCTGGTCTTGCTCTGATGAGAAAAAGTCGTGTGCCGCCCTGCAACAACACGGCGAAAGGCGAACCTTGCATGGCCCAAAACGGGTGGTCGTCTGGACATGTCGCAAGCGCAGACCAAACAGCAATGGAGCGACAAACTTGGTAAGCAGTTGATGAGGACTGGCCTGGAAGCCTCAGGCACTGATGCAGCTCGCACGCCCACAAAGAAGGGCAGTCCGCGAACATGCCAGGATTTTTGACACGACAGGTGACAAGAGTCTTGCACCCCGTCATGCGTGGTCTGATGACTGTGAAATGATTACTTCAGCAGCAGGGGGCTTGCCGGCTGTCTTCTGCAGTTTGGCGAGCTGGACAAGATCTGGCCCAGGAGTACACCGCACAGCATATAGCCAGAATCTAGCCACTCTAGCTTTGTCAACTGAACTATTCTTGGTGCAATGAATGCAGCAGATCCAACAGGCTACCACTGTGGATGTCCCTGGCAAGGGCATGCATTGTTTACAGCGACACCTGTACCGCTTGACCACTCAACCTCACTTACCTCACACTTCTTCGACGAGACCCGACCCCAAGTCCCGACACAAAGGAAACTGAGTCCATTCAGCGTGAAGATGCTGGTGATGCATCGATGGTTTCGTGCAGCACCCAGCTGTTCTCACCGTCACGGTTTGGAGCTCTGGAGGTTCCGCGTATTTCAATTCCAAGCGTCGTTGCTTCGATAACCGACCTTCTGCACTGTTGCAATCTCTGTCATCGTACTTGTAACATGTCTCAGAGCTAGAGACTTAAGCGGGATCGTCGAGTAGACATCCGAATCCCCCAACATTTTCAATTGGAGCGCAAGCGTCTCGAAGCCCACTCGCATAGCGCTGATGCGCCGCCAGCTGTAGGCCCTGAATTGGCCAAGAAGGAGCACTTTGCCGGGGAATCTGCGGAGGGTTTGAGCACTTGGGAGATCTTTTCGGGCTTCGGCGGTGGTTAGAGCACCGAAAGAGACCCTGGACTGCCCGTCAAGCTTGAACTTCACGCTCGATCTTAAGAGGTGTTTCGTACTGTGACAGCTTAGATGCCTAGCCGGCACATTTGGCGGGTTTGCCTTGCTCAGCCTCGCCACAGTGAGGCTTGAATCACCCTTTGGCAACTGTCAAAAGGGAAGGTGGACCGGGAGTGACGTTTCACGGAAGCTCAGCCAGTCCGAATCGAAGCGCCAGCTGTACTGCTGTGGACAGTGGACAGCGTTTCAACTCGGGGCAGGACCTGGGCTATGAGCCCATCATCCCCTTCCGCGAGGGCTGGAATGATTCCATCGAGACACCGCTGAACTGAGGGACGGTGTGGCCATGTGGTCTCCTGACCTGCCTCCGAAACTTGCGGGCTCAGATTGTCTCAATTCTTCAAACCGTAGGGCAACGGGATGCAGTTGAACAATTCGTTGCGCAGGGGTGATGCTCAGGCCTCCTGGCATGTGGTGATAGCCACCGGCTTGCTTTTTCTTGTTCCGTTTTCGCTTCAGTCAGCCACGGTGCGAGGGCACCACGGTGCGAGGGCACCAGGAAGCAAGAAAGAAAGTAAGCAAGCAGGTCAGTAGGTCAGTGAGCAAGTAACTTAGTAAACATACTTCTCAAGCTTGCTGGTTGACTGTTTGCGCTCTGCATCTCGCAATTTAGTAAGGCTCGCCCGCCGTAGCACAAACACTGCGAACCCCACCTGCTTGCTCATGAGGTCTCAAGCTGCAGACTTTTAACAGGGTGCAGAGCCCAACGTCTGTTCAAGATGCGGATCACACCGTCCCAGATGTCCTTCGTTGGACGTGATTAAAATTGCCGCCAATTGCCAAGGCCAATTGATTTCATGTTTTCGCATGCAAGCGATTTTCCGCACGCCGCCGGAAAGCTTGGCCGATGTGGAGGTCAGGAACGCGACCGTCAGGAAGGTTGCAAGCCTTGTCCACCCGATCCTGCAATGCATTCTGCATCGTTAAAAATTTAGTTTTTGCACGTCACCAGAATACGAGTATCGGCCGCAACTCACCCGATCCCTGCGAGTGTTGGCAATGCAGAGCTCCAAAGCTTGCGACAGCCACGAGACTGACCTGTCGATCTTTGTGTCTTTTCACGACCTAATTTTATTCTGTTGGTCCTGGAATTTGCTTTTGCTGTTTGCATCGGCAATGAGAGATTTTATGGTATCGGAATTCTCTGATTGCTGTTTGTGCCTGGTCGATGCCTTGCTTGGCAAAGCCTCTCGACAGGCTAGAAAGGGGCGTGGCAACTTAAAACAAACCCATCCCAGTGCAGGTATTCGGTTTTTCAGGGGCCCGAACCGCTTGAAACGACTGATTCTTTGAACATCGCTTTCTGACATGCAGCATGTCACGGTTCGGCTTCCGCACACGGAACCAAAGAGCTGAAGACAAGACCTGGGTCTGGCAGACTCTACTTGACTTTGAGAGATGGGGCTGGGCTGTCATTGTCATGTATGGCGCGGAGGACAAGGCAAGCTTCTTGCTAAATCTTCAGGTTTCGATCCCCAGAGACCATGTCCGTCTTGTGCCACTCCACCGGGCGAATCAGCTTTTCTGTATGCCCAGGATTGGTTCAAAAGTGCTTTGGCTGCATGCAGCATGCAGACAGATCCAGATGCTTTTGGACATAAGCACGGTGGCCGGTGCCGCATGAAACTCTTCGAGTCTTCAGAAACTCTTCAACTTCAGGGTTTATCAGCGCAGTCTATCGTGCCAGCAACAGCTTGGCCATGCAGCAGATTGAAGTCGGTGATCGACATCAAGACATGACATACCTGAACTGAAAGGAAGCCCGGGCCCCAACATGTCCTCGTGCTTCCACGTTGCACAGACACAGTGGACGCACTGCTAGATAGAGACAGAGGCAGGCAGGTACACAGGCAAAGGTTTGTGTAGTTTGGGAGGTAGCACATGAAGTTCGATAAACACGTGGACAAAAGGGTTGAACGGTAACCCAGTAACATGAAAGAACTTCAACTCCTTGGAGCACAACTTCAGAAGTGAACATGCCTTACAAGGAGAATGGCTGCCAAAGTACTTGGATCGTCAAGTTGCCAGTAGCCACCTGACTGCGAGAAGCCCTCAGATGTTCTATCACCAGCTGGGCTTGTCGAAATGGGTCTCAGGTAGCTTATTCAATTTGATTGGCCGGGACATTCGAGCTACGAGCGAAAGTGGTAGGCTTAACCGGGAATAGCAGCAAGCTGGCTGTGAAGGCGATGCCCCATTGCGATAGTTAATGCCTTCTTGACGGGGGTGGTTCATGCTCGAGACCTCGGTTGGAATTTCGTTGCTGCCGGCAGTATGGCGGACTGGTTTACAGCTTGCAAGGATGTGAGCGCCTGTTAAGCCTATTGAGTATTCATATCATGCGCCATCCGCACTCAGAGTCGGGTCCTCTCGCAGCTAGAGGAAACTCTGCAAGATTAAAATGGAAGTTGGGCTCGCGCTGGGGCGAAGACTTGGAGTCTAGTGCCGATTAGGATGTGGCGCGGTCCGGTGTCCTACACACCCGGTTCTTGGCCGGTATGCATTTGCATGATGATGGACATGCTAGCAACAGTAGTACTGGCAACAGGACCACAAGAAACAAACAGTAATTTGGAATGTTGACACATGGGTACAGTGCGTACGTATGTATGTATGTATGTATGTATGTATGTATGTATGTATAATGTGTGTGTGTGTATGTATGCGTGTATGTATGTACGTAGACATGTCTGTCTGTCGGTCTGCCCGCCTGCCTGCCTGTCTGCCTGCATGCATGCATTCATGTATGCATGCATACCTATATGATATATGTACACAAAGTGTCTTTCTCTCTCTAAATATATGTATATATGTATATGTACGTATATATATATATGTGTGTACAAACACATGCACAGGTGTTTTCCACGGGTATACACGTTCGCTGTATGCATACATGCATACATACATGCATACCTACATACATATCTACATAGATCATACAAGCATATGTTTGTAGTCACTCACTCACTGAATCACTCAGTCACTCATTTTCTTGCTTGCTTACTTACTGGCTCGCTTACTTACTTGCTTGCTTACTTACTTACTTACTTACTTACTTACTTACTTACTTACTTACTTACTTACTTACTTACTTACAGACTTACAGACTTACAGA